TTTTTTTTTAATTTCCTTTTTGTGTTATGTGTGCGCGCAATCTGGGTTTTAATTAATTTTGTTTTTGAACATAATGTTTAATTTGCAGCAAATTGTGTATAAGAAACTCAGCTTTCAATTTTCTTGGATAAAGTTTTCTCATCTCTAGTGCTTTAGTCCTTAGTCTTAGATTCATTGTGATGCTCCTACGTCTATTGGGTTTCGCGTAGTTTGATGTTTGTTTTTTCGTCTTTCAGGCGAAGTTATGATGTGGTAACTAGGTAAAACTAGCTTCGACTTGGAGAACAGAAGTGCATTAAGAGATCATCACAAGAATGGTGTTTTGGGAAGGATATGTAAGTGATGAGTCCATGGGGACGTTTGCCCCACTAGTCGTGTACTGGTTGTACGCCGGGTTTTATCAGCTACTCCCTCCTCTAGATAAGTACCGGCTGCATACAAAAACCGAAGAAAATGAGAAGAATGTAGTGCCTTTAGGATCCGTGATCAGAGGTGTTCTTCTTCAACAGTTTGTTCAGGCCGTAGTTGCAGAATTGCTTTTCTTGGTAAATGCACTATTTTTTTTTTTTACCCTTTTCGAAATCCTTTTTAGGTATAGTAGTATTGATAGATAATTTAATGAATGCCTTCCTTTGGCGTGCAATGATTATAAGCTTTAAGATATTCACAACACAATCTTATGAATACGGATGCGGCCGGGATATGGGTAGTCAAATAAAGGAAGTGATCGTTTCTATAGAGACTGAGAATTTTTGCTTTTGAACCCTTTTCTATTGCAAGTTTACTGAATATCTCCTATGTTGTTACTTATTTTGTTTTTATTTCTTTTACTCTGAGATCATAATTTTAGTCTTTGTGAAGTTTTACCTAACGAGGTGCATCAATATGTAGCAAAATTAGATTTAGAATGCACATTGCTGTTGCTAAAATCTGTCTTTTATGTGATATATCACATAGCACAAGAATGTTATGTCTTAGTACCAATTATTATAATTATGTTATCTTCGTTTCCTTATTCAGAACTTACCATTTTATGCTTAGTGTTACAGGTGACTTCTAATGCGAGTTCTCCCGGTCAAACTGTCCAACCCTCTCTCCCCATTCTATTTCTGCAATTCATAGTTGCCATGCTGGTTATGGACACGTGGCAGTACTTTGTGCATCGGTACATGCACCAAAATAAGTTTTTATACAAACACATCCACTCCCAGCACCATAGATTAGTCGTCCCTTATGCCATTGGGGCACTTTACAATCACCCTTTGGAAGGCCTTTTACTCGACACGTTTGGCGGTGCTATTTCCTTTTTGATATCTGGGATGACTGCACGAACGGCTGTTTTCTTCTTTTGCTTTGCTGTAATCAAGACCGTTGATGACCACTGTGGGCTATGGCTGCCTGGTAATATCTTCCATTTATTTTTTCAAAACAACACAGCTTATCACGACGTGCATCATCAGCTCCAGGGTTTGAAATTCAACTACTCTCAGCCGTTTTTCTCGATATGGGACAAACTGCTTGGGACATATGCTCCGTACACGCTTGTAAAACGGGCTGAGGGAGGTTTTGAGGCAAGGCTGAAAAAAGATTGACAATGTTTTAATGATTCTTCTTTTTTCTTTTCTTGTTATTGTGCTGCTTGTGAGGCAAGTCGGTTAGGTTCTTCGTTAGAAGCTCTATTTGAAGGAGAGAGTTGAAATATGTAGCTTCTGTTTGAATTGTCTATTTCTTGTCCCAAGTTGTTACCGCTGCGCCATGATTGTTTTAGACTAACTGGCTAAGGTTTGTTGATTAAGTGAGCATGTATTAGCTCTGTAGCATTAAAATTGTGGTTTCTAAAACACCCTGATAAGATTACATTATTGTGTTGATGTATTAAAGGTAGAATTGTTGATGAAACTAGTTGAGTGTATGATATTTGGGGTTTAATCTCGTTGATGGTTTTGTATGCAAACTTATGACGCTTTGCTCTGTTTCTGTAGCAGGATATTCTTGGGTGGTTGTTTTCCCATGATAAATTTGCTATGCATATTCAATGTCTCAGAAATTATATGGAGTCACCGGATGGTCTTGTTATGGAGTCATTCATCACTTAATACGTGTCCAAAGTGTATTTATTGTAGGACACATCAATACACTATTCGTGAATAAGTGTGGATGGCTCCATAAGTCGTGTCATCCGATTGTTCCATAACAAAATTGTTCAATGTTTTACTAGTGTTGCGGTAACCAGCTTTTTTTACCTGCCCGTTGTTGATGCACGATATAGTATTTTTTATGGTCAAGTAGCATAATGGAGCCTCATGTAATGCAATTATGTTATGTCGCTAGCCTTGATTAATCTGTTCATACCTTAGCCGATTTTTGCCATCCCCTTTTGTGTTTGGTGCCTTTACCTGTGAAAGAAGTAGTTACGATGATACAAATATTTGAGTTTGTAATATTCCATGTAGAGTCGGGGCGAATGCACTTCTTTTTCTTGCGTGTACAACTTTAATACGAGTGCAAGACATGTTATTTTCTCTAGGCAATTCGTTTGGAGTTCGTATGCAATTAGCAAAGATGCTTCTCTTGTTTGACGATCACGAATACGAACAAAAACAAAGCAAAGAACTTGAAATACACGGTATTCTAACTCATTCAATGTCTTGAAGGTTGTATTAGGATGGAACCATTTGAAGCCGAGGATTTTAAGTCAATCATGTCCATTGAGCTTGTTTGGATTGCAAGGCAGTGTCAATCTCAAATTCGGATATCTGAATATGGGATCATTTGAGAACTATAAAACTATACTAAAAGAGTTTGCTTGCCATAAAACATCTTGGAGCATGGGCATGGACTCTATGAGCCCGTGGGGCTAATCTCTTCTCCCGGCCCGGACCAACAAATTCATCATGGCCCGTAATGCTTTATGCTTCTTTCAACCCTATTGAGCTCCACGGACTCGAAGATTGTCATGACCTCATCCAACATTCCCGATTGGTTGCATGTGCATAGTAGGGCTGAGCACGGGACTTGGAGATTACCGAACTGTTTCGAAAACCGAACCGAATTCACCCCGAATTGGAAAATATCCGTTGACCGTTTGACTTTATCGGAACCGAACCATACCGAAAAAATATTTAGTACGGTTCTGGAGATTCATGAAATATCCGAACCGAGAACCTTCAAAATTCTACTCCCACAAGAAATTCTATCCAGCCGCCACGCCAAATCATCAATCCTCGGCCACGTCATCGCCCACTTGGCTGCTACATCATTCATATGCATAAAAAATTGCAAAATAAACGCAAAATTCGAATATTGATGTATGTCCGTTCACAAAATAAAATACGTGAGAAAACTTGAATAATACAATAATATCAAATACTCAAATATATAAATTAAACCACAAAATAGTACAAAATTTCTCACGTATCACCCGACAAAGTTACATATTCCACGACTTGTGGGCAATAGCCCATAATAGATGATATTGTGAGTTGATTATAGATGATTGTTCTCATCTTGAGGAGGAATATAGATGGCAAGCTTGTGTTTATCTGAGTTTGGCTGCACTAGTAGACTGATGCAAGGTTACTACTTTTTTTTTTTTTTTTTTTCAGCTGGTGAAGATATGGATTTTGGCGATTTTGATTTCGGTGAGTAGCTACACTATATGTTTCCATAATTAAACGTTCAATGCACAAATGCACCTAGAGTTGTTTGGTTCATTAACGTTTTAACATTGTTCTATTGTTTTCAGAAGCTTAACATGGGTAGAGCTGGGGGTTTTGATGATGACGTTCCAGATGGCGATGAAGGTGAATTTTCATAATCGCCAGTCAACATAGAACCTCACAAAGATTTACATTCAAACTCTTCAATTGGGGGAAAAAGAAAAAGAGAAGGAAAAATAAAGTAACGAATAAAAATTCGATATGTTGCAAATGATGAGAATGATACTGATGATGAATATAAGGGAGACACAATCACTGCTAATGGTGGGCCTGAAGCAGCACCTGCTACTAACACTGAATCCAAGAAGAAGGCTTGAAGGGGTCAATCACACTTGTGCTTTCAACATTGTAACCCCTGTGTTGTGTGCTTAATAACTATGGCTAGCTAGACGTTATTGATTGTAGCTTAAAAGTTCTCTTCTCCAATGACTTTATGGAAGTATCATTTATGGAAGTTGATGGTTATTTTGATTTCAATTGTGCTTCATTTTGTGCAATGAGGTGCCTATGTTTTCATTCGGGTGAAAGGATTTATAATGGTGAAAGGATCTTTACAATGTTTATCGTGTTCTTGTTGTGCTTTTTTTTTTTTTTTTNNNCGTGATTGTGCTTAATGGTTTATATGTTTTCCGAATATCCTGTAATTTGTGAAGCAATTTTAGTACACCAAGAGTTGGTGGTTGATTTGTGGTAATGATGATGTGATGTTGGTTCCATTTAGGGTATAGCTCCCATTTGAGCTCGTACTTGTTTAATAGATGAGTCAAATACTCAGTTCAAACTCGACGCATTCAATAAACTTAAAATTTCAAATGAGTTGTTCGCAAACATGAAATACCCGTTTGTGAGTAAGTTCGGCTCGATTATTATATTTAAAACCTGTAAAATATATATATATATATATATATATATATATACAATAATCTATTCACAGACGAGCTTGATAACAAATGAATTAGATTATTACAAATGCTTTAATTTATTTCTTTTGATTCGCTCTTATGAGTAAAATGAGGAAAAATTAGAGATTTAGTCCTTTAACTGACCAACTTTTAAAAAAGGTCCTATAAGTTCCAAAAAACGTGATAAATAGTCCTGCCACCAGCTAACGAAGGTAACTCTTACCGGCTTCGCTACCTGGATTTTGTTTTTAATTTTTCTTTTTTTTTTAATGTGCCACATCGGTTAAAAACATGAACGGGTGTCTTAAAGTGGATTCTCACCGCTCGTCATTTTCATTTCTCAAACCCTAAGAAAATCCCAATTTCATCCATTGCTTGATCCATTCTCCAAGGCCTAAGAAAAAATTGCAGAGCATTGACGATCCAAATTCGGGAGTTACAAATTCACCATGTCCTCGTCGGTCAGTAGCCCCAAGGTCTCTCCGTTTTGTAACTGTGGGAAGAAAGCGAAGCTGTGGACCTCGTGGACTGAAGCCAACCCGGGTAGGTGATTCAACGGGTGTGAAGATTGGGAGGTACGCTTTTCTCTTAAGCTCTGTTCTGCCATGTACTTTCTCCTTCTTTCATTTTTCTAAAACATTATTGTTGCCCTAATTCAGATTGGATGCTGTAATTTTTTTGCTTGGGAAGATCCCTCAATTCCTCGACGTAGTCTATATGTGATTCAGAAGCTTCGTGAAGAGAAGGAGACACTGATGAAACAAGTTGAAATTTTGGAGAATCAGAGGCGCAAATTGAAGATGTACTTATTGATTTCTTGGTACTTAATTATTTTGTTCAAGTGTTTAGGATTTATCTAATGAGTCAGGCACCTTGTTGTTTCTTGGTCTTGTATTTTGTTAGAATGTGTTGGATTTGATTTGTGTAAGCAAGTACTTGATGAAGCAATTTCAATTTACCTAGCTATTTTAAGTGCTTTTGTGTAAGGATCTGTTAAGTACTTGATTTGTGTAAGGATCTATTCTTGATGAATGCATCTGCCACATTGAGTATCATCTTGAGGATCAGTTTTTATTGGATTTCCATCCATCAGTAACCTTGTTTCCAACCAAAAAAAAGCTAACATATGATCAGTGATGTTTATAGCTTATAATGTTATTGATTATGTTGATTTCCTGCCAAACATCATACAACACCAAAGATACCAATATAGCATAAAACAATCACACCAAAGGCCATAACCATCATACAACAGCTACAAGTATAAGCATATTCAACCATTAATTATACCATAGTCAAAGCTAGCTATAACCATCAAACCATCAAACCACATCAATAACCATAAAACTAACATAGGTTGAATCATAAAACCCATTGCCATAATTATAACACAAAAAAGTGGAGTGTTTAAGATCCCAAATATAAGCAAATCCCAGTTTCACAAAAAACAATATGAAGAACATCAACCCAACCATAAGCAAATCCCAGTTTCACAAAAACCAATCTGAAGAACATCAACCCATAACATAACCAAAACAATAATTAATGTTTCTTCATCCAAAATAGGCAACTACATCAATTCTTCTTCTTTCTTTTGTCCTTCCCCAGTACCATTTTTGTACCCTGTTTAGCAAGACATGCATTCAAGTCTGAAAATGTGACATATTTCTGGGGCTTCATGTTATATGATGAAGATCCTCCAGGCTCATTGTTCTGATGGGACTGAAGTTGGTCCCACATGGTTAGAGGTTGCTCCAATGTAACATCATTCAATGCATCATCCTGAAAAGCAATAAAAATATATTAATGTACCATATATATATATATATATATATATATATATATATATATATTCTATTATATCAAACATTAATGATGAAAAATGTCAATAACTTTATTAACAATTATCACCTGGATAGCAATATTCTGATTTGGATTTGATGGCTTCTTAGGATTGGGGATTGAGGTCTTAAGAACCTAAACATTGCAAGTAAGTAAGTACATATAATGAAATAAAGGAAATAACATTATCAGTATTATTATCACTTATGGAGTTGGAGGGAGAATAGCTTCTTCTTGAGTGACTTGACTAGCAAATTCACTTGTTGTATTCTCATGAACCTATATAATTATGATAAAGAAAAATAATAACCATCATTATATGTAAAAATAAACATAAAAAGGGAAAATATCATTTTGCAATATCACATGTGGAGTGGGAAGGGGAGTATCTTCTTGAGTGACCTGACTTGCAAATTCAGATGTGCTTTTGCAATGTTTTCTGTTATGACCCTTTGAACCGCAGTTACCACAAGTGATCACATTCTTTTACCTTTGAATCTTGTGGGGATTAATACATTTATGTCTTCTATTCCTCTTCTTTTCTTTTGGCATAACCTCATCAGGTTCTAGCCTTCTAGCTGTGGTGGGTCTACCTGCCCCTCTCCCAAAATTGGGGGTTTGGCAGGTATAAAATTGGACATATGCCATTGGTCTCTGCCATTCATTGGCATCAAGATGCTTGCATATACAGCTTTGTAAGTATCCAGATAGTAACATCTGTCAACAAAGTCATTTAATTCAAACCCCCCACATCTAATGGCAGCTAAAGCATGAACACAAGGAATTTCAATGAGATCCCACTTCCTACAACCACATGTCTTATTGGATAGGTCAACAGAAAATTGGGAACCATTACTGCAGCTTATGTGATAGTTAAATTCACTTGCTTTTATAGGGATACAATCAGGAATGTTCTGCAGGTTTTGTTGCACAATCTTATTAATCCTAGGGCAAATGACACTTTTTTCTCCAATTCTTGGTAGCTCTCTCTCTGGCCTTTTGCATTTTTTCCATCAAATACAACTGAATCATTTCCAGCATTGTTAGAATAGGCTTCTGTCTAGCCTCCAAAATGTTCCCATTAAAGGTCTCACAAAGATTGTTTAACAAGATGTCTGACTTAGCCAATGTGCTGAAATGAGATCTACTCCATGGGGCAGGAGGCTTGTCTTTAAGCCAGTCATATGCTTTCTCTTCTAGTTGTCTTACCTCAGACATCCTCCTTACAAAATCATTCACAGTTGTGGCCTTTCCTGCCCTCCACACAGCTAATTTGAATGACTGTCCAATAAAACCAGCTCTCCTCATGTTACCTTGCATATGTCTAATACAAAACCGATGTTCAGCATTTAGAAACACATCATTGAATGCTTGGATAAGACCTTTCTGCTTGTCTGACATGAAGCACCATTGATAATCATCTTTAATTCCAAGATCAGCCTTCAATAACCTCAAGAACCAACTCCATGTTTTACCATTTTTCAATTCAACAACAACATAACAAATAGGAAAAATACTGTTGTTTGGATCCAAATCCACAGCTGTTAATATTACTCCACCTTGTGCACTCTTGATATGACACCCATCAACTCCAATAACCCTTCTGCAACCATTTAAAAACCCATCTTCAGTGAAGCAAAACAAATATAAATCCTCTCAAATGTTTGATCCTGGTGCAGCCCAATTACCACAGTTGAATCAGGGTTAGATCTCCTTACTTCATTTGCATATGCCCACAACAGTTTGTATTGTTCCTCAATGTTTCCTTCCAGCTTCTCCAAAGCAATTTTTTTTTGCCCTCCATGCCTGAAATGGGGTGACATTACACCTTAGACTTTGCACACAATCAACTCTGAATCCTTTGGGTTTTCTTGTAGGATCTGACTGGAACTTATGGAGATATCTCCCAGCCAACCAACTTGAATTAAGATTTTTAACATCCATAGTCATTGGACAAGAATGTTTGGAGACATATTCTCTGATTCTATATGTACTTGAATCATTAATCTTTACTACATGCAGCCTCCATTCACATTCAGGCTCAACACACTTAGCATGCAATCTGAGGGTGTCATTCTTAGTAATTTTCACATTTCTTTTTTCCCTAATTGCATCTGAGTGAATTGCCATCCTAACTTCTTGCTTTGTGTTGAAAACCATTCCAAGCTTCAACCTTGGATTGTACTGTTGAAGTGGATTGAACAGAGGAGCTTCAACCTTGTTCACATCTTCCTCATCAGACTCCTTCCAACTGTAGTATTCATCCTCACTTTCAACCACATCTGCATCACCTAATTCATCATTTTCATCAGCAGGTGCAACAAGGATTGATGTATTCTGATCACACCACTCCACATCAGAGTCTATGTGTTCATTGAAAATAAGATCATCATCCTCATTATCATATTCTTCACCACTAATCTCAAAGTCAAGGTCTTCACTACTATCACTATTAACACTCTCAACACTACCATCTCCTTCATCATCTTTACCTCCCAATTCATGCCCAAAGTCCCTTCTTTCACACTGGCCACTAGCCTTCACCCCAACCTCAGCTTCAGAATCCTTTCTTTCACACTGTCCACCAACCTTCACTCCAACCTCAGCTTCAGACTCCTTTCTTTCACACTGCCCACTAACCTTAAATTCCAACTCAGACTCATAGTCATAATTTGCCAATGGTTCATCATCTATCTCCCAATCATTAGAGTCTTCATCACATGTGAGGCACTTAGCCCCATTATCAAAATAAATAAAGAGCTCTCTAGAACCATTTATAGCTCCTTTAATGAAAACAAGTAATTCCTCATCATTTTTTATTTCAGTAATGAGACCTACCTCAGATTTTCCCCAGTAAGTAATGGTCCCCTCCATTTTCTCTCTAATTGCCAGCCTGTAAAGTGCTTCTAAAGACATCAGACCTTCTCGGAAGAAGTTGAACTTGTAAGCTGCCCCACCGATGTACTTCTTTTCCCCACCATTACTATGGAAATGTCCCCTAAAATTGACACATAAAGTGAAGAGCTGGCTTTTCGAGTCTGCATACAAAACAAAACAAAAAAACATAGATTATGTTAAATCGAACTGCAAAATAGAAGACACCAATAAACATTTCAACTAGGGTTTCGAAAAGCACACATGAACTTTGGGGACATTGAGAAAATTCAGAAACAACATAATCGAAGTGTTCAAACTTAGGTAACGAAATTGCAATTCATAAAATTAACAAAAGAACTTACCATAATCGGGTGGTTCAAACTCGAAGTGTTCCGGTGGCCTGAACGTCATTAGATCGGGCATTGTAGCAGAACTTTTCAACGAACTGAATTTTTGCAGAAATTGGTTTCTTAGGGCTTGGATGAAATCGGGATCGATCTTTGTTAGGTTAGAGAAAGTGAAGTGACGAGTTTTGGAGAGAATTAGGGATTTTTCCCCCAATTTAAGTGACAGTTCATATTTTTAACCGATGTGGCACATTAAAAAAAAAAGAAAAATTAAAAACAAAATCCAGGTAAGCAAGCCGGTAAGAGTTACATTCGTTAGCCGGTGGCAGGACTATTTATCACGTTTTTTGGAACTTACAGGACCTTTTCTAAAAGTTGGTCCATTAAAGGACTAAACCTCAAATCGGTGTCACTTAAAGGACTACATCTCTAATTTTTCCGACGACCAGAGCTCAAGATTTTACGAGTTGAATTGAGTTATGTTCTATCCTATTTACCGACTTATTTGAATATTCAATGGACAAAATAAATAATTGCAACCAATAATTATAAAATTAACAAAATTTGTAATTGTACTTTTTCTTGCTTATATTAGTCTTCCAGACTACAAGAATACTAGGCATACACTTGTGAGTTGTGAAATGCGTATATTTCGAATCAGTATTTCGAAAATAATAGTAAAATTTAAAATAAAAATAGAAAAATGTGATAAAATTAGAATAAATCGAAAAGGAAAAATAAAGTAACTAAAACGAATAAATATTAACAGAAAAAAAAAATAAAAAAAATATAATCTTGAGAAATATGATATTACTTTTCTGCCAGGAATATATACAAGAGAGATCGCGGGAAAGAACGGGTATTTACAGCTCTAAGAGTCTATCTTTCAAACAGTTGGTGTGCGCACGCTGTAAAGAAAATGGAGGAAGGTCCCAACACTGAACTCGCCAAGGCGTTGCAGGCCCAGATAGAATCTCTCAACAAAAGGATTCATGTACACACTTTTCTCGTGACCCCATCAAATGTCCAATTTCTCTTTAACAATCTTTTCTTTATTTGGAAATGCAGGAATTGGAAGCTGCGAATGCCCAGCTTTCTGCTCAGCTCTTGAGGTGCACCTGCGAGAAGGTTAGGCGTTTGATGGCTATAAACTCATACTTACAATACCGTTTGTTTGATTTTTACTAATTGAGTACTATGAGCTGAAATCGTAGTGTTTTCGACTATGTTGTTATGCTTAGTGGTTACTGGATACCGTGCTGGGGCCGGAACCTTCACGTGTGAATGATGACTATTGTTGTTATTGTTGATGCTGTTTTTGTTGTCGGTGGTGTGTTGTTGGTGTGCTGTTGTTGTTGTTGTTGTGAGTTTGTGTTGGAATTTACGGGTTTTTATGCGCTATGATTATGATGCATAGTTTTCTAGTGCAGACTGCTATGATTATGATGCATAAGTTTTTTTAGTGCAGACAATAGCCAGTGATAGAATTAGTGGTTTAAACTCGATGGAGAAAATGAAAGGGAAAAAGGTTGATGAAGATGATCTCAGAAAAACATTGAAGGAGGATGTGTCAGGTGCTTATAGTCTTGAAAACTCACTCTATTTTATGGAAAATTCTGTGTGACTTGTGAGGTAGTGCATTTGCGTTCTTTCAGACCGTACAGTTCAAACACACATGTGGGTGTGTGATTATGCTGTGAACAGACAGTGTATGGCTGCCTTACAGTTGGCATAGACGAGTATTTTGACACGGTTGCTGAGCTTGTTGATTTTCTTATTGGTTTTTTTCCTGTTAGACACACGTAGAGAAGCTATGGGTTTGCATCATTTTCCGAGGCGGCATGTTGCTCTAAAAGTTATGTATTTTGGTCCAAGGTACAAAATATAGTAACTGTTTCATTTATCTATGATCTTTTCTTTATTACTCCACTTGGAGAAAAATAAGAATAACTGTTTCATGATTGCTTATTATCACGTATTATTTGATTGCCTGGAAGTTACGAAGCTAGTATCTAGTGTTAAGCAAAGCTTTATTCAATTTTTGAGGCACTATCAGCTTCTTCAGTACTGAACTCCTTCCTAGTATTGTGTTCCATCTGAAACGGATATCAAGAGTAAAATAAAGTACGCAATAGTGTTCGAATACCAAAAATAAAAGCGGAAGCAATTAACTTTAAAATCTCTTCTGGGAGCGTCCAACTACCCCTCAGAACTATTTCATTAATAGCTAGGTTTGCGCACAACGTACAACTAGGTCTTACAAAACTCGAACCCCTTCTAGTCTAGCCAACACTATACCCGAACCTATTAACTAATCCTCTGGCCACAACATTGTGGACTTCAAACTGGGGTAAGAATCCCTCCCAGCTATCATAGTACTTAAGCCGTAAGTACGAAAAATGTTCGTAAGTAAAGAAAACAAAACACAGTTCTTCAGTGGTGTAAGAACACTGACTGTTCACAAAAGAACTCGAAAACTAATCTCACAAACACTCAACAAGACTTCAAAAAATGATAAACTCCAATATATGCGCAGCGGCATTCAATTGAGTATTTGTGACGGTATGTATATACAAGCTCCTCAAGGCAAGGAGTCTTCAAGCTTCCTTCCTTAGAATGGATTTCGTTCCTTCTTTAAATTTCAATCTAAGGTCGAGATCTTCATATATGGAAGCCGAGATCTTCTTGTTCGATTATGCCTCGATCAGCTTCCTCTTCCTTTGAATCCAAGATCTCCTACAAAATAAAAATACGCATTATAGAAAGTCGCCATATTTAATAGAATAGAATCATAATAAACAAAAGAGAGAGAATGTAGTTTTTCCCTTTTTATTTTCCTTGCTTTCCTAGAACATCAAGATGCATTTTTGGAACTTCTTGCCAAAATAAAACCTTACACCATCTATGGCCATGATGTGTGGCATCTTTATCGTCAATATTCTTCAAGTTAGGAATTTTCTCCTTCACATGTTTCCTTCAATTAATTTATGACTAGAAGTCAATAGAAAATTCCACGCACACAGGCATGCATTTCTGTTCATTGATGACACAATATGGTGATCTACTTTTGACTTAATCTGAGCATTTGCAGTTGTAGAACGAGCTGTATATTACTATATTAGTAACTGCTTCATATTTGATCTGTCTTATTTACATCATTATAAATTGCTCATTGTTGGACTACAGATTTTACGGTTTTGCCTCGGAAGCACAGATGGACCCGACCATAGAGGTGATTTTGCCACTTCTGTCATACTAGTGTCTATACAAGCAACGTTTATTTTACCACTGGTCTCTTACTTGAGACACTAGCTTATTTGGTCAAAATAATCGATGGTAAGGTGGTATGAAATTGGTGGTTCATTCGCTTAAGACTTAACATTTGTTCTGATTAGTATCATCATATCAGGTAAACAAAAGTTCAAAAAAAAAAAAAAAGGGCAAGCAAGCCACTGGTATATTTTTATAAAAATCTTAAGATTATACTACAGTTGAAGCCAAACCATGTGGGGATTGTTATTCTCAAATGCACTGAAGAAAATCATGAATGCTTTTCCAAAACAGTGGATAGTATTCTTATTAGTTCATCTTCACTGGCACCTTTCAAATATACGACTAATGATGTATTTGGCATTTTTATTCCAATGTCACATTTCTTTCCTCTGCTACATTTAGGAGTCGAAGGACTTGTTTATTATGTCTTCAATTGATGGTGTAAAGAGAAATTTGATCTGTTCACTAAAATAGTAATGTTCTATTTAAGTTCCTCTTGAAAATGCAATTTGCTCAGAAGATATGAAATGAGTTCTCTTGTTTATTGGTTCAGTCAGAAATCTTTAAGGCCCTAAAGAAGACGAGGTTGATATCTAGTGATAAGAAGGAATTACAGTACTCTAGATGCGGCAGAACAGACAAGGGAGTTTCTTCTGTTGGCCAAGTAAGTTAAATTTTTACTGGCCTTAGTTTCTTATGTTATCCTTCCATTATGATTAATGCAGCTTGTTTTTCTGAAATCTCTATTCTATAAGTGAGATTTTATAAGAACACATTTCTTGAAAATGATTTTTTGTTGCTCATTCATGACACAATTTAAATATCCTCTCGTTAAAATTTTCATCTTCAAAAATTAAAAATAAAAATACAGAAAAAAATCACTTCAAATTTAATGCAGATATGTTACATCAAAATGTTTAGACTATTTTGTGGAACACTGCATTATCTTGTTTCTTTTTCTTTTTCTTTTTCTGGAAGTTAAGTTTAGATGTTTAAATATTAGTTGTCATGTGACTTGCATTAAGCTGAAACTCTTGAAAAAATAATACAAGTTAGAAAGATGATAGAGATCTTCCTATCCAGGTCCAATCTAGGTCAGTCATGGGTTTTCTTATTTGACCCCATACTGGCATTTATCTCCAATGGCTTGTTGTTTTTTAACATATGTAACATCATTTCTTTATTTCTCCTGGTTACCTTCTACATTGTTACTGATTACTGCAGGTAATTTCTTTATTACTACGATCAAATCTCAAGGAAACAACAGGGACCGATGGATATTCTGGAGAATCTTCTGCCGAAGTATCTCATGGTATGTTTTTAGTTCCTGTAATATTGTAACTTAGAAGAATGTAAATATTATCAGAAATTACCTGGCTTTCCTGTGATATATATGCATTATGATGATGGGAATAGGACTAATTCCCACCTGGCATAATATGGCTATTGAAATTTTTCTGTGCATTTTGCACATTTTCCAGTATCGACATTTAATTTTCGAAATGGACACCCACACACACACACACACACACACGTATTGTCTTTTTTCTCTCTCTGTGTGTGTGTGGCTGAAACTAAATAACCTGTGTTATTGTGGTGTGTTACATACAAATTTACAAGTTTACTTGTATCACAAATATGTTCTTTCAAGTTTCATTCAATTTATTTATGCTCTTTATGATACATATTCTTCCTGACAGGTAGCGAAATAGATTATGTAAAGATGCTAAACAAAGTACTTCCAAAAGACATACGAGTTATTGGGTGGTCACCTGCTCCAACTGATTTCAGTGCAAGGTAAGTGATCCCTCTTGAACTTTTTCCTCTTCTCTCCTATTACGAACATTGGATTCAGAAAAAAGAAACTTATGTTTCTGTTTCCGGGGTCAATGCATGAGTACCCTAAATATCTGCATTTTCATATGTTATATTAGTATCATCTCTTTTCCTGGAGCCACGAGAATGTAGATTCCTATACAGTAATGCTTTTTTAAATTACCACCCTCTATGATTGGTTTGTTTTCATTTTGCGCCCAATGTGTCACAAAGAAATGAGGTTCCTGCAAACCATATAATGTCTCAAGTACGAACCGTGTAGTTTCCTTTGATCCTCCAGCATTACCATAGCGTAAATAATTTAAATAACTACATGAAAGATAACAAATATAGTTTATTTGTGATATGGATAAATTGTGATACTTTATCTGTTGGAGCCAAGGCCTTACTGCTTATGGATACATGAAATGAACATTTTCTCAGCATTGATCTTATAATTTGAAAGGGTAATAACATTTTGATGGCTGAGTTTTTGACATTTTTGTCAAACCAGTATATCTTGGAAATTTATAGAGTATATTGCAGGTTCAATTGCTTAAGCAGGGAATACAAGTATTTCTTCTGGAGAGAAAATTTAAACATTACAGTAAGCATTTCTTTGAGTACATTTGGACTTATATGCTCTACATCCAGTTACTGCCTAATTTCTAGAAAACTCTGGACAATGAACAGCTGTTGAACATGTACGACAGGTAATGGAGATTGCAGGAAAGAAATTTACTGGAGAACACGATTTCAGAAACTTCTGTAAGATGGATGCAGCTAATGTTCACAACTATAGGCGTCACATTACATCATTTGAAATTTTCCCATGTAGTGAAAGGTTTAAAAGTAATTGTGAACCTTATAAGCGTTACTTTCTACTTATCATACCTATATTGAAGAATGTGTACAAATGCAAATTTATGCAATTCTGGGCATTAATTTTATGGTTGAAGTGCTAAATTTTGTGAACATAACGCGCACATATATAGGATTAGGATCTGATAAGAACCATTTTTAACGTACAAACAAGGGACTTGCTAAAATACATCCAACATACTGCTACTTTGGCAGTGTAATATATTGTACATATATAATAGCAGTATATACAATGTATTTTACCAGTACATATAATGTATTTTAGTAGGGACCTAGCTTGCTAATATATATAAATATGTGTGGATGCTTTTGTGTGTGTGCGAGAGAGAGAGAGAGAGAGAGAGAGAGAGAGAGAGAGAGAGAGAGAGAGAGAGAGAGAGAGCTGGCGAAAACAAGATACATCTTGTCCTTGGTGTGGAATTAAGCAATCCTGATAATTCTTATATAGTGGAATCAATATAGGTTTTGTTGATGTTTTGGAGAATAAATTATAAATAATACAATGAGATGTGACATGACCAACCAGTAGTCTACAAATCTAATTTTCTGAACTTATATTGAATATTCGTTACCTGGAGTTAAGTCTTGTTATAAGTTTCCGGTTTGATAATATTGTTATCCATTTAGATAGCACTGTCTTGAAAGATTCTGATGATATAATTGTTATGGTGCGTTATTAATCTTTTGATTTTATCCATTTCAGTTTTGTTTCTGTATCATCTGCTGCAGGTTTGAAGATGATGAACTCTGGGCAATGAAAATCAAAGGCAGCGCTTTCCTATGGCACCAGATCCGATGCATGGTTGCTGTACTTTTTTTGATTGGCCAAGGTCTTGAATCTCCAAATGTGAGTGTTAGTTTCATCGATCTTTGGTTTAGATTCTTATGTAGCTTTAAGCATTTGATGAATTCAATTTGTCATTACTACTTCCGTAATTCAGTCTTCTATATGTCTGAATCCATGAGGGATAGTGTTGGTATTTGTATGTGATATGATGCTGCCAGAAGTTAGTTACAAGCTAGTTTCTTGACCTCGAATGTGCATGAAAATTTTAGCATTTTATGTATATGTCAGTAACATTCTTGTGTTGGTAAATAAGTCAACGACAAGTTGGTTTTCCATAACTGATGTTTTTAGTTTCCTGCTAAATAAAGCAAGCACTATCCATTAGATAATGAGTTGAGTGATAAACTCAATGAACTTTACAAATGCAAAATATTGCCTGTTGAGGAGCCATAAAAATGCACAGTTCTGGTGTGCTTGGTTGTGGTATTTTTCCACATGTCGAGTAAGATCATGTTATGATTTCTATTATGCAGTGTGGACTACTGTTTGTGAGGCTACTTCTATTGTTTTGTGATCTGGATTTATTGGAGTTTATATTCCGTATTTTTTAATGACTTTCTTATCCAATCTTTAGGTGATAGGTGAGTTACTGGATATTGAAAGAACACCAAGGAAACCTCAATACACAATGGCCCCCGAGATTCCACTGGTTCTAAGGTCGTGTGAATTTCTGGGCCTCACGTTTAAGTGTTCATCAGGTAATTTACGACTTAACTACAGTTAACTTATGTAGCATTGCAGCTCCACTGCCGTTCTTTCGTATTGTTTCATCAGTGCTTGGATGACTAAATTTTGCTTCATATGCGTTCTTTATTCGATGTAGTTAGAGAGGCATTTTTTGTATCTCCCATTTTAGTAAATTTGTTTTTCCATCTTAAAACTGAACCTTTTTGTGGTAAACTGGAACTCATGTGGATAGTAGTTTCCTTTTTGGGTGAGTGGAAAAACTCCCCATATAAAACTCCAAAATATAAAGTTAGAGGTTTGATTTTTTAAGTTTACATTTTCACTATATTATTCTCTCACATTTGGTGCAACATTGCAATTAATAAGCAGTCGAACACTAAGAAATGATTTTGCCAATAGCTGAAATGCAGGAACTGAGATAGAATTAGGTGAGAACTATTTACAGATTGCCCGTTCGTTGGCTTATATCCGATCTCTGACAGTTATTAATGCAGTCCTAAAATTAGCCCTTCTATTTAATCTTAATTACTTTTATTGAGATGGCTCATAGATGCCGCCCAAGCTCTTCGGACTCACTTGGAGAAGGAATGCCGAAGTTATAAACTTCAAGCGGCAATCTTTCACGAGGCCCTGCTAAGTTCTTCTTGTGCCTTATATGGTAAAAAATGCTTTGATTAATCTTGAATTCCATCTTATCTTCTTCTTCTTGTTTTGCCTTACAATAGTTCTGATTGCAGAAAATAATCAGCTAAATAATAGAACAAAAAAGAAGGAATCTGCTCACATTCCCCTATTGTCACGGCCAACAGAGCGTAAGTTCGATTTATATGCTAAGCTAATTGCTTATTTGACTTAGTTATTCTCTCCTTTACCGTAATTTCATATGAATGTAAACTTGTAGTCGACAGTTTTGATTGGCCACATTTTGTTGAACTCTCAGCCACTTACGAAGAACGACGTGCTAAACTGAATGATGGGCTTGGAAGAAAGGCAAAACCGAAAATCCCTGTTCTTGGCACCTAATTCATTCATGCACCGATCTGATTTCGTTCTCAAAAGGATTTGCTGCATGGGAAATAGGATACAAAACGGTGCAGATGATGTATGCTTGATTTCAAATCTCCATCGAAGTCCGTTTTTCGTTGAGCATTGCTATATCCTGGAAATGTAAGAAGTCCAGATTTATGTTTAAGGTGAAATGGGAATGTTAAAGAAATATGCATCCGTGTGATTCAAATACCGTTGTGGAGAATAGGTTCTAATTGATTGAACCTAAACCAATGTAAACACATTTAAAATTGTGCTTCATAATTATGTTCAAGATTCGTCACACCCCTAACCTGTAAGAAAATTAAAATAGTAAACCAGTTCTCCAGTTTTTCTTTTTGTGGTTGGTGTGACCAAAACCAAACTTGAACAAAGAATTTTAAGAAACGTTAGCATTTCCTAATTTTCTTTTACACAAGTCAAATAAAAGTAGGTATAACCAATTCCATTCAAAATTAACTTTTCTTAATAAAATTGAAATAATTTTCTCATAAGAACTTCCAAAGACCAATGTCTGGTGTTCGATCCTGACTATCGTGGGAGTTAGAGATGGGGCGCTCCTACTCGCTTGGGTGGATTAGTCCCGTCTCTTTGGGCATGGCCATGGACCGGTTGGATCCGTATTTCGTTGGGGGCTCGGCAAGCGGCTTGAGAGTTCGTGGTGAGACGCTCCAGATGAATGTGGGGACACCACCCCATCGTTAAAATAAATAAATAAATAATAAATAATTTCTCAGTGCTTTACTTGTTTTAAAAAAATAAAAATAAACTAAAAAATTATGTTTCATAAAGAATATTTAAACATAGCTATTTTTCTAAATAACAAATATATCCTATTCCTTTCAAAATTGACTTTTACTAATACTAATGAAATGAAATATATTTTCTTATAAGAGGCCTTCCAAAGACCTTTGTCCTAGAGAATTATTATGACCAAAACTCCACAACTTTTTTTTTTTTTCTTTTTAATTTGTTTTTTTCAAAAGAATGTTTAGGTTTTGACCAACCGATTTTCCCGCCTTTCAAAAGACTCCACCAAAAGAGCCCTCAAATTATAGGATCTAAGACACTGTCCCCACCATTCAAATGAGAAAAAATAACTACCATTACATTTCAAAACTTTTAGGATCTCATTTTTTGCCCTTTTAAATTCCTCACTAAAATCAAGCAAAACACTTGCTTTAAAAGTTCACTGCCCAAAATAACAAAAGAATACTTGTCTCCTCTCCATCAGTTCTCAATCATTCTTGCCTCTGTCAGTAGGGATTTATGTTCTTACTCTGGCTTTTACTTATCCCCATTTCCATAAAGAACGAAAGTTCCATTTGGATAAATGGATTTTGCCGATAAGCCATTGTCGAGCGAGCATCAGGAGCAGTACCGATCGGCTTCGGAGAGCGCGGACCCATCGTCCGTCTCGCCGTTTCAGGTAGCGTCGCCAAAGTCACCGAGGTCCCCCAAGTCCCCGAGGTCACCACGCTCCCCGAGATCTCCGAAAGGCAAGCAGGGTGGTGGGGCCCACGGGAGCCCCCTCAAGAATCAACGGCAGTCGCATGGTGGGAAAACCGGGCAACCGAAAAAAGGTGCACCTTTTGAGTTCCTCTTGATATGAAACTAAAAACTGTAGTATTTTGACTATTTTCTTCTGTTAGTGTGTGATTATTCTTTTCTGTTGGCATCCTTTTTTTCTTTTCCAATTTCTAGTGACATAAAATGACTGTTAGCACTAAGGTATGACCTCTGTTAAGCAAAAGGCTCATTTATGAGATTCAACTTCAATGGCAAGATATAACTTGATTCAGCCCATGAACCCACCTCAGAATATAAATGTCGTCACCTTTTCAGGCGGCTATGGCGGGAAAGGAGCCTGGGGAGGATTACTCGACATGGAGGATGGCTACACAGACGACCCAAACGACCCGAACTACATAAGCGATAAGGTGACCGACTTGAAATATTTCCAAATGATGAAAAAAATAACCAAATTTTCTCGAGGAAAAATGATTCACTGAACTTTCCGGCACATTTTGTAAACGATCCGTGAAGAATAATAATAATAATTTAGTAATCGTAATTTTTTGCAGGAGGAGACGAGGCCTGTCCCTCGAACAACCGAGCAGCTCGACAAGTTCAAGAAGAAGGCGACCGTGATGGTCGAGGAGTACTTCCTGAACGACGACCTCACATCAACTGCCAACGAGCTTCGGGAGCTCGACTCTCCATCCCACCACTTCTACTTCGTCAAGAAGCTCATCTCCACCGCCATGGACCGGCACGACAAGGAGAAGGAGATGGCCTCCGTCCTCCTTTCTTCCCTCTACAATGACGTAATTACCCCTCAACAAGTCTACAAGGGCTTCCAAAAGCTCGTCGATTCCACCGACGACCTAATCGTCGACATTCCCGATGCGGTCGACGTGCTCGCCCTTTTCATAGCACGAGCTGTCGTGGACGATATCCTCCCTCCGTCTTTCCTCACCAAAACAATGGCTTATCTGAAGAAGGACTCGAAGGGGGTTGACGTAATTAAGCGCGCCGAGAAGGGCTACCTATCGGCCCCGCTCCACGCGGAAGTCATCGAGCGGTGCTGGGGCGGGAGCCGGAACAAGACGGTCGAAGACCTCAAGTCGAAGATCAACGACCTTTTGGTCGAGTACGTGGCGAGTGGGGATGTGAAGGAGGCATGTCGGTGCGTAAAAGACCTAAACGTCCCCCACTTTCACCACGAGATCGTGAAGCGTGCGATCCTCATGGCGATGGAGAGGCGGAAGGCCGAGGCCCGTCTTCTCGACCTCCTCAAACAGGCCTCCGAGGAGGGCCTTATCAACTCGAGCCAGATATCCAAAGGATTCGCACGAATAATCGACTCGGTCGAGGACCTGTCGCTGGACATACCGAACGCGAAGGCCTTACTACAGTCGTTGATCTCGAAATCCGCATCTGAGGGCTGGCTTTGCGCCTCGTCACTAATGTCCCTCACCCCACCACCGGGAAAACACGCGGTCGAGGAAGATAGACTTAAAGCGTTCAAGAAAAAGGCAGAGTCGATCGTCCGCGAGTATTTTCTCTCGGGCGACATATCGGAGGTGAGCTGCTGCCTCGAGTTCGAGAACACTTCATCTTCGCCCGAACTCAACGCGATCTTTGTGAAGAAGGTGATCACGCTCGCCATGGAACGGAAGAATCGAGAGAAGGAGATGGCTTCTGTTCTGTTATCCTCCTTATGCTTCCCCTCGGAAGACGTGGTCACGGGCTTTGTAATGCTAGTCGAGTCGGCCGAGGACACGGCGCTCGACATCCCGGTGGCAGTCGAGGACTTAGCCATGTTCCTAGCGAGGGCAGTCGTGGATGAGGTCCTGACCCCACACGAGCTGGAAGAAATCGGGTGCAACTTCCCAAGCCACGACTCGGTCGGGAGCAGGGTCGTGGGGACGGCCGTGAGCCTTCTGAGGGCCCGGCTGTCGGGGGAGAGGATACTGAGGTGCTGGGGGTGTAATAACGGGTGGTCGGTGGAGGACGTGAAGGAGAAAATCGGGAAGCTGCTGGAGGAGTATGGGGCGGGTGGGGATGTTGGGGAGGCGTGCAGGTGTATAAAGGAGTTGGGGATGCCCTTTTTCCACCACGAGGTGGTGAAGAGGTGTGTGGTGATGGTGATGGAGAGGCGGGAGGAGAGAATGTGGGGGCTGCTCAGGGAGTGCTTCGGAATGCAGCTCATTACGATGGGGCAGATGGGGAAAGGGTTCGCGCGGGTGGCCGAGGCCATCGATGACTTGGCTCTCGACGTGCCGGATGTGAAGAGGCAGTTCGAGGGGTGGGTTCGGAGGGCGAGGGACGAGGGGTGGCTCGACGGGTCGTTCGCTTTCGGGTCTAACGGAGTTTCGGAGGTCTGAGATTGTGTGTGTGTGTGTGTGTGTGTGTG